CCCCGCAAGGTCGTCCTGGCTCCGCGCGCTGGGAGGTCTGGAAGCGCTGGGAGGTCTGGAAGCGCTAGGAACTCCCAATTCACGCTCCCTCCCCGCGCACCTCGACAGGCCGGGGATTCCTTCCTGCCGGCGCGCACGTGCGCGCTCGGGATTTCGCGGGGCGGAGAGAGAAGGGGCTTTTCTGTCTAAGGCAGTGGTTCTCAACCGTGGCTGCACATTAGAATCACCTGGGAATCTTTTTAAAATCCTGATTTCTGGGCTTCATCCTCTGGAAATTCTGGTTCTTTCAGGTGATTCTAATGTGCAGCCAAGGTTGAGAACCACTGGTCTGTATAGGGCCGTGGTCGGCAAACCGCGGCTCGGGAGCCACATGCGGCTCTATGGCCCCTTGAGTGTGGCTCTTCCTAAGCCTTAGGAGTACCCTAATTAAGTTAATAACAATGTACCTACCTATATAGTTTAAGTTTTAAAAATTTGGCTCTCAAAAGAAATTTCAATCGTTGTACTGTTGATATTTGGCTCTGCTGACTAATGAGTTTGCCCACCACTGGTCTAAGGGAAGACATTATTACCAACATCTTTACGTTTAGGGGCTGACGGCGGTCCTCTCAGCTCCTGCCCTCGTTATTACCATCTTTATGTTTAGGGGCTGACGGCGGTCCTCTCAGCTCCTGCCCTGAATTTTATCATTACTCTCTAGTTGGCCGGCCGTCAGCTCCAATACACTTCCTCCCCTAGTCACACAACTGCCTATCGCCCTCGTGGCCGTCCCCCTACAGGTCCCCAAGCCGGGCTTGCCGAGCACAACTCCTCAGCTCCGATAGACTTCCTCCCCTAGTCACACAACTGCCTATCGCCCTCGGGTGGAGCCCCATTCCTCAGCCTGGAGGGCTTCCTTCCTAGGGTTAATCACCATTGGTCCCTGATCTTCCCTTATCCCAGGCCCCAAAGACCCCGTCATAGCCATGCAGGAGGCTCCCTTGCCAGGTCCTTCAAGATATGCCCTCCCCACGCACCATCTTGTTGGTTCTCGAGATAGCTCAGGGGTAGGTACTGTTTTTGTCTCATTGTATACAGGAGTTAACAGGCTCAAACCCACTAAGTCCCTGGCCTAAGGTCCTAGAGGTAAGAGGCAGAGGCCTCCATTCGTGGGGAGCCATCTGGACTCCTGCACTGCTTATTGGCAGACACCTTCCCCCGATTCTTGGCCCTACCACCACCCCTGCTGGTTCCCTCACAGCTCTGGGCACTTCCTGGCTCTATGACACAGGCAGGTGACAGTTCTCCCATCTGTAGAGGGGACCAACACCTCACAGGCCTGTCCTCTGGGCTCAGTGAGATATTACCAGGGCCCAGCATTCAGGGGATGCTTCTTACAGCTGGTCTAGTCCTCCCATTCCCTGTTAATGGGCACCCTCTGCAGGGCTCCTTCCCCCAGCTTCTTCCCTAATCTCCACAGGGTCTTCCTGAATCCTTCACATGCCTTCTAGTCCTTGTCTCAGGGTTGGCTCCTGGGGGACCCCAGCACTAAGCCAGTGCTCACTATATGTTGGTTAGTTTTTATGCCAGCTGCCATTGTTTCAGGCACCCTACATACTGCACTTCAGCTGTACCCAATTATTAATGGCACCCCTCCCTTGAACAGTAGAGTTGTGACCTCCAGGCCTTTGCTCCAGTGGCTCCTTTGGCCTTTTCTGTTCCTTGTCTGTGGCGAACTTCTATGCATCCTTCAAGGCCCTCCCTCCCTCTGGGCAGAGCCTGGCCCCATTTGGCCTAGCCCTGACTCCACACAGTTGGGGATATCTATGAGGATCTGCATCTGAGACTTGCCATTTGAAAGAATAGCCTATTTGGCAGGAAGAACCAACAAGGCATAGGCCCTGAGGGGCAACAAGCCTGCTGTGTTGGAGCTGAGATCAAGGAGGCAGGAGGAGCTAGAGCTGAGAGGGGGTGCACTTCAGTGGGAGCCATAGCAGTGACTTGGTAAATGCTTACACCCCACTCCTCACATGTGGGCCCATCTCTAAGCTGCCCTCCCTCTCTGCTGACTCCTTAAGGGTAACTAAGCACTTGGAAGGTGAAACCAGGTTCAGAGTCACCCAGCCCTTCCCAGTCATGTGGCCTGAAGGGATGCTTATTGCTACGCAGACCCACCTGCCTGCTGCAGCCTCCAGGCTTTTGCCTGCCCAGTGCCCTGCCTCGGTGATGGAATCTGATCTTCCACTAAGGCCTGCTCTGGAGGAACCCTCCTCTGGGAAGCCTGCCCAGGCCTCCACCCAGATGCCTCCTGTGTTGGAACAGCAGAGCAGCCAGCACTGCCTGACCCCAAGCATAGCATGTGACTTGGCCGCTGACTCTGACCCAGACTTAGGATGCCAGCAACTTGCCTCTCCTCTCCTCTGAGTCATTCCCTAAAGTGAGGGGGAGCCAGAGCCTCCTCAAGCTCTCTGAGTCGCACTCTTGCAGGAGCCCATCAAGATTCAGGAAAGGCGGCACAGGGTCTTCACTGGGCAAATGGCCCAGCCAGGAGGGAGCACCTTCGGAGCGAGGCACAGGTCTCAGGTAGCTTGCTGCAGCAGGAGTGCTGCTAGGAGCTCTTATCATCCTTGGCTGTGTATGCATATCCCCCCTCACTCCAGCCCTCATCCCCCCGCCCCCCAGACTTCAAGTACACACTCTGCCTCACCCACCACCTTTATTGGGCATCAGCCCAGGACTGCACACGGGAGGGCGGTGGGTGTCACTCACAGCAGGGACCCTGGGCGGGGGGGCATGGCTGATGATGCCAACTAGCCCCCAGGACACGCACTGGCCCGGGCCTCTCTAACCCTGGGACCTGACCCGGTGAGACGGCAGCAGGATCACGACCCTGACCGCCCCTAGGGCGGCTCCCCCAGTTCGTGGGGCTGCTCCCCCAGTTCGGGGCTCACTTGGGGGTGTTGAAGGGCACGGCCCGCTGGTTCATGGGGTTGTCTGGTGAGCGCAGCCACTCCTTCTTGAGTAGCTGCTTCAGCTGCGACAGCCGCATGTTGGGGTTCTCTTGCTTGAGCCGAGGCAGTTGTTCCTCCTCAAAGGCGGTGAAAGCAGCCCGCATGCGGCGCTCTGGGTGCCTGTCTCCGGCCTCCTCCACCACGCTGCAGGGAGGACACAGGACTTCAAAGGGGCCCAGGAGCGACCTCGCCCTAGAGACTCAGGCCCCGCCCCCAGAGGCTCAGGCCCCGCCCAGGCTTAAGCCGCGCCCCAGAGGCTCAGGCCCCGCCCCACTACCTGAGCACCGCGATGGCGTCCTCGATGGTGCGCGCCTCCAAGCTGCCCTCCTCCAGCACTCGGCGGTTCACGTTTTCCTCCAGTGGCACCTCCAGGTGGCTCTTGACTTTCTCGGCTGGGGATGGGCAGCCAGCCGGGTGACAGAGACATATCCAGAGAGAGACACAGTGGGGACAGAAGGGAGGGGAGAATGATGGCAGGAACGCGACTTGAGCTGAGAAGCCCTTCCAGGACCGACCTAGGGGGTGGTCCTACCCTTCCGGTGCCCAGCCCTCTGCCCTCTTAACTCCCCTGGAGCTGGGCACACGGAGGAGACTCACACACGGCTGCGCAGCCTCGGGCAGCGTCCCCCATACTGGGGAGGAGTGGCGCACAAGCCGAGGTCCGGTGCAGAGCAAGTACCCAGTGTATGCCTGCGCTCAGAGCAGGCCTGCCGGGCCACCGCCCACCCATGCTTCCTGCAGAGCCCAGGCTTCTGGGGTGGGGAGGGCCGCTGCCTATTCTTTAACGTGTAAGAGGGCGGCGCCACAGGGGACCCAGCCCCACCTGGTTCTTGGGCTTCCTTGTGCTGATGGTCTCTGCGGAGCGTCTCCTCAATCTGGGCACGGGTGACTTTGCTTGGCACAGCTACCCGGGGGGCCTTGCTGCTCTTGAGCTTCGAGTCCTCCTCCTCCAGCAAGCGCTGGGCCTCCTTTTTGCGCTCCAGCTGCTCCAGGCGCCGCTTCTCCTTCTCCTCCTGGGGTGATGGGGCAATCAGGGGTGGACCCCACCCTACCACCAAGGTGGACTGAGACCCTGCAGTGTGCCAGACCCTGTGTTGGACATGGGACATGGCTGGGAGCACGACGGCCCAACATATATGAAGATAGGAACAACACAGGTGGGTGGGTAGGTCTGGAAGGAAAAAGTGACCCCTGGGCAGAGGAGGAGCCAGCCAGGAGGTGGGGGGGGGGAGTGGTGGGAGTGGCAGGTGTAAAGACCCTGAGGCAAGAGCCACCCAGCATGCCGAGAAGCACAGAGAGAACCGGTGTAGCTGACCTGGGGATGGGAAGTATAGAGGGAGGTGTGTGTGTGTGTGTGGGGGGGCAGCTTAGGAGCCTCAAGGGCTTGGGGAGCAGTTTGTATTGGATTCCAAAGGAGACAGGAGCCACAGAGGGTCTGAATCCATTTGCGAGCTGGGGCAAGAGTTCTGCCCTTTTGGGTACAGAGACCTTGGAGGAGGCACTGGCCCCAGTCTAGCATCACAGTGGATGGGGCTGATGGCACCGAGGCTCCCCACGGAGACCCAGATGCCAGTGGGACGAGGGGACATCTGGCCTACAGAACTTATCCTTGGTCACTGCCCTTCCACTGCTCCAGGGGACAGAGTGAGGTCCCATTGTAGTGTGTGTGGCCTTCGGCTGGGTTCTGCACTGCAGGCACCCTCACTTGCCTACAATTCTGCCAGTTGCCTCCCATGCCTCCGGGCTGGTCCGTGCCTGCAATTCCCCAGGACACTCCTGTGGCTGGACTAAATGTCCCAGGAGAGGGGCTGATGTGCCTGAGGATACCCACTGAGCTTCCATCCTGCCTGCGTGGCACAAAAGTGTGTGTGGGCAGGTTTAAAGGTCAAGGGTGTTTGAGTATAGCTTCTGGGGCTCCCACTTCTGTGCTCAGGCACCTCAGGCAAGGCCACTGTGTTCTGAGCCTCAGTTTCCTCATCTGGAGGATGGGGATGACCCCAAGGCCCAGAGCCAAGGCCTGGGGAGGACTCCCAGGGCCCAGACTGTCAAAAGGTTTCTGGCTTTTCTGTCTGCATAATGGATCTTTGGCGGACACTGATTTTCCCTTTGGGTTTTCAACTTTGCTATGTTGTCAAAATGCTGGCAATCAAAAAGTTTAAAGACCGCCCCCCCGCCCCCAACCCAATGTAGCATGTGAAGAGTGGAGGGAACCAGTGACATTCAATGTCCACTAACAACAAGGCAGGATCCAGTCCTGCACAGAAAGACAATGGGAAAACTCTCAAAAGTGCCCAGGCACCCCATGATCTAGGTGTGCAGGGACTGCATCAGCACTGCTACTTTCCACAACCTTTATGTTTTCCAATCGAGGAAACCCCTGTTCTCTGCCTGGAGTCACCAACGCATCCCCCAGGATCCTAGGCAGGCGGGACCAGCCCAGGAACCAGGATGTGTTCCGCGGGTCTCTGGTGCCACCTACTGGGCTGGACAGGTAAGCACCAGCCCTCAAACATTCCCAGACAATTAAGCACCCGTTGTGTGCCAGGCACTGGGGCCCATCAGGGATAGCCAGCCATCTCTGCCCTCTTCTGTGTTTTTATAAACTCCTGGGAGATCCTGCGGGCCCAGGTCAGCAGGTCACAAGTGGGAGTCTATCCAGAACTTCCCAGCCTCGTTCTGCTGATGTCTGGGCTGGCTCATTCTTTGCTAGGGGCCCAGTCGCATGCCTGGCCTCACCCACCAGATGCCAGGAACACCTCCACCAACCAGTTGTGACAACCAAAAATGTCTCCATGCCCTGGCTGGCTTGGCTCAGTGGCTAGAGTGTTGGCCTCAGACTGAAGGGTCCCAGGTTCGATTCCAGTCAAGGGCACATGCCCAGGCTGCAGGCTTGATCCCCAGTAGGGTGTGTGCAGGAGGCAGCCGATCAATGATTCTCTCATCATTGATGTTTCTATCTCTCTCTCCTTCTCCCTTCTTCTCTGAAATCAATAATATATATATATATAAATAAA